TGTAAGCCTTACTCTTTTCACGTAGTCTATTTTTATGGTAGACAGCATTTTTTTTTTTTTTTTTTTTTTTTTTTTTTTATTAGCTAAGCCTACTGTTTGCTTTTTCACACACAACATTCTAATTCTGCATATATTTCTTTTTTTATGTGTGACGTTAAGATATGATGTATTAGTAGATGTATAATTAATAATCTATAATTAATTAGGCCTATCTATTATAATGCTAATATAAAAATACAATTTCTAGGTTCAACCCATTTTCCACCTCATGCAAGCGCTCTATTAACGCTGACTTGACTTTAATCTCACAATATGTATTATAATTTAAGCCTTACTCTTTTTCACATATTCTATTTTATGGCAGATGGAATAATTTTTATAGGCTAGGCCTACTGTTTGCTTTTTCACACACGACAATTCTAATTCTGCATATATTTCTTTTGTGTATGAGGTTAAATACATGATGCATTAGTAGATGCATAGTTAATGACCTATAACTAAATAGGCCTATAATGTTATATTCTAAATTAAATGTTAACTCAAACTTACCAAAAAAATGTCAAGCCTGGGTGGAATTTATTCGTGTAGTATATATGTTAACGATAAAATTACCGGTTCTGCTACCAGACGATAGACGCATATATCAACGAAAAACCGTCGCTTTGCACATCTTCACGAGAGGGAAGTGTGACCTGCACAGTGAAAGCGGCGGATTTTGAGTTTTATTTGTAAATTATCACTAGTAATACGGAGTGCAGAGGCGGAGCTTATACTACAATAAACTAATCAGAATGTATATTTTGTTATAAAGTGGAGAATCGAAGGTCTATACACATACATCATGCACGTTTTGCTAGAGATATTACAGTGTGTTACTGTAAAAACATTGCTTTTTCTCGAAGGATGTTGGAGGAAGAGATTAAAAACATTGAAACTTACACAACAACCCTTATTGCTGTAGTGCTTTTTAACGACAGTGTATCATCGAAATTTTATTTAAACAATTCACTGGAATAAGTAAAGAAAGTGTATTAAGTTAAATAATACAAAACTGTATTTTTGAAGTAAACTGAGCCATGTTAAACAATATACTACTGTAACTTTAAAACAAACAGCCGTGTCAAACAACATATTACTGTAATTTTAAAACAAACTGAGCAATGTTAAACAATAAACTACTGTAACTTTAAAACAAACTAAGTCCTGTCAAACAATATACTACTTTAATTTTAAAACAAACTGAGCCATATTAAACAATATACTACTATAACTTTAAAATAAACTAAGATATGTCAAACAATATACTACTGTATATTTAAATCAATTTCATTGATGAAATAAAAAAATACATTGCTTAAAGTTCGATTTTTTAGAATAAAACCACAATGGGCTATTTATTGTGCCTACCGCGAGAATCGAACCCCGGGTTTTAGGGGTTTACGTCCGTAAACTTACCGCTGTACGACCGAGGGTTAAAGTAAAGATTTCTCTGTCGTTAGACTTTTTCCAATACTTTTTTACTGTATGCTTCGAATATTTATTTGCTTGTGCAATTTGTGAACAAAGAGGTCTCCTCCCCTGAAATTCTAGCGAAGAGGTTGGTTTACTGTTAAAAACCTACACTTCGTGTTGCTAAGGTGACTATCATAGTGTAATGTGACTAGTAAAACATGTGTGTTATTGTAACAGATTTGTCCTATGTCACAGTCTTTACAATCCGGACATATTAACATGGAAATACAGTTTGTCCTATACAACAGTTGATAAACTCATTAATAGTAAACAATCTAAGAGTCGCGGGTTAGAATCTCCAGCACCGAACATTCCCGTCCTTTCAGCCGTGGGAGCGTTATAATGTTTCGATCAATCCCACTATTCGTTGGTAAAAGAGTAGCCCAAGAATTGTCGGTGGGTGTTGTTCACCAGTTGCCTTCCCTCTAGTCTATCACTGGTAAATTAGGGACGCCTCGGGAAATCCAAACCAAAACAAACGTATCTCCTTCACTGACTACTGTTTCTTTAGTGTTATTTTAAATATGTATAGTTTAAGAAAATATTTTAAATTTCAGATGAACGACACCCACGAAAATGTTACGTCATCAACTGAAACTGAAGATTATTGCATTGTTGGAGCCTTTGGAGCGTCAGTCGTCATAATCCTGTCGGTAGTTGGTAACCTGGCGGTGATCATAGCAATTATGACGACAAAGAAGTTACGGACACCATCCGACATGCTTATTTTTTTTATGTCACTAAACGATTTCCTATTTGTAGTATGTGTTATGCCGTTGTATGTGGATCCTATTCTGTACGGTAGGTGGCGTTTCGACAGTGGAAAAGTGGGGCCTGTGTGTCTGTTCAATGCTTATGGAGGAACATTTTTCCAGATGACTAATTTGTTTATTCTTGGGGTCATTTCGTTTAATAGATATATCACTGTCGTCCATCCCAAGAATTCTCAGAAGCTACTTACCATGACGACAATGCTTATTTCCATCATAATATGTTACCTTGTCCCTGTCTTGACATTTATTCCATCCTTTGCTGGTTTTGCAAAGTTTGAGTTCAACTTTCAGATCAAACGCTGTAACTGGAATCGACTAGAGTCAGACGTCGTTATTAACATTTTCTTCTTTGTTGGCTTCTTCATCCCACTCATCCTGATGCTTTTCAGCTACGCGAAGATTTTCATTGTCGTTCACAGGAGTCGAAGTAGAGTTCAACATGTCCATAGTCTAACGGGCATTCGGAGATCGCGAGTTTCAGATGGTGACAGTAGAGAGTTAAAGCTGACCAAAATGATGGCTACCATCTTCATTGCCTACCTCATCACCTACCTTCCCTGTACGATACTTGTGATTGGGCATTTGGAATTCATTGTCCCTCGTTCTCTTGTTCTATCTTCATACATTATGTTGTGGAGTGGTTCTTGGATTAATCCTGTCATTTACGGTTTGATGAACCAACGTTATAGAAAGGCCTACATATCCATGTTGGATTGTGGGTATCTCAAGAAGAATTCCAACCAGTCTCATCCATCGACTTAAAATATACTTACTAGATGAAAAAGAGGCATCAGACAGGCTAAAAAGAAATAATTCAGATTCTACTGACTAGATGAAACAGTTGTCTTTGAACAGAGAAAACACTCAATAATGCCATAAGCAAACTTTTGTACTATGTTATTATTTTTTGCTAAATAAAATAAAACGTGTTATGTTCCCAGGATACCATACTATCCAAATTCAAAAATTGATCTTCAAAAAGATAACCGTTCACCACTAAACTGGGAATAAAGTAACATATCTTTGTTGATGTTCCTCTCAAGTCACAGAATGAGATCTATACATATAAACAACAAAGTTACAACACTTAGAAAACAGGTTATTAAACATAATGAAACATTTAGTCACTAAGTCAAACTTATGTAATACAAATAACCAACAAAATTACAACGTCTTCTCTATTTAAATAACAGTTAACAACTATACCAGCATACACAAAATCATCTGACAAACCATTTAATAAGTTAATAACTTTAAACTATATCAACACACACCACATCATCTAGCAAACCATTTTACAAGTTAACAACTTTAAACTATATCAACACACACACCACATCATCTAGCAAACCATTTAATAAGTTAATAACTTTAAACTATATCAACACACACCACATCATCTAGCAAACCATTCTACAAGTTAACAGCTTTAAACTATATCAACACACGCCCAATCTGACAAACCATTTAATAAGTTAACAACTTTAAACTATATCAACACATACCACATCATTTAGCAAACCATTCTACAAGTTAACAACTTTAAACTATACCAACATACACTACATCTAGCAAACCATTCTACAAGTTAACAACTTTAAACTATACCAACACATACCACATCATCTAGCAAACCATTTAATAAGTTAACAACTTTAAACTATATCAACATACACTACATCTAGCAAACCATTCTACAAGTTAACAACTTTAAACTATATCAACACATACCACAGCATCTAGCAAACCATTCTACAAGTTAACAACTTTAAACTATATCAACACACACACCACATCATCTAGCAAACCATTCTACAAGTTAACAACTTTAAACTATATCAACATACACTACATCTAGCAAACCATTCTACAAGTTAACAACTTTAAACTATATCAACATACACTACATCTAGCAAACCATTCTACAAGTTAACAACTTTAAACTATATCAACATACACTACATCTAGCAAACCATTCTACAAGTTAACAACTTTAAATTATATCAACACATACCACAGCATCTAGCAAACCATTCTACAAGTTAACAACTTTAAACTATATCAACACACACACCACATCATCTAGCAAACCATTCTACAAGTTAACAGCTTTAAACTATATCAACACATACCACATCATTTAGCAAACCATTCTACAAGTTAACAACTTTAAACTATATCAACACATACCACAGCATCTAGCAAACCATTCTACAAGTTAACAACTTTAAACTATATCAACACACACACCACATAATCTAGCAAACCATTTTACAAGTTAACAACTTTAAACTATACCACACACATCATATCGTCTGCCAAACCATTTTACAAGTTAACAGCTTTAAACTATATCAACACACGCCCAATCTGACAAACCATTTAATAAGTTAATAACTTTAAACTATATCAACACACACCACATAATCTAGCAAACCATTTTACAAGTTAACAACTTTAAACTATACCACACACATCATATCTTCCGCCAAACCATTCATTCTATAAGTTAACTGTAATTTCGAAATAACTCTGCTTAGTAACCAGCCTGAATCTAGACTTCCATAACTTATACTTACGTCTTCTAACACCCAGGATTTTATTTCGTCTCCTCCTACCAAACCTCCCATGAATAGTGTATCTAAGTTCCAATGATTTTAAACACTTGAATCAGGTCTTTTTAAATATTTTGTATTTACTTCTAGAGCCATTTTTTTATTAAGCTTCTAGAACCACTATGTTGTATTGTGTACTAGAGCCACCTACACATTTTAAACATGTTGTTGTATTATGTACTAGAGCCACCTATACATTATGAACATGTTATATTATGTACTAGAGCCACCTATACATTACGAACATGTTTTTGTATTATGTACTAGAGCCACCTACACATTTTAAACATGTTATATTATGTACTAGAGCCACCTACACATTTTAAACATGTTTTTATATTATGTACTAGAGCCACCTACACATTTTCAACATGTTGTTATATTATGTACTAGAGCCACCTACACATTTTCAACATGTTGTTATATTATGTACTAGAGCCACCTACACATTTTAAACATGTTGTTATATTATGTACTAGAGCCACCTACATATTTTAAACATGTTGTATTATGTACTAGAGCCACATACACATTTTAAACATGTTGTTATATTATGTACTAGAGCCACCTACATATTTTAAACATGTTGTTATATTATGTACTAGAGCCACCTACACAGTTTCAACATGTTGTTATATTATGTACTAGAGCCACCTACGCATTTTAAACATGTTGTTATATTATGTACTAGACCCACCTACACATTTTAAACATTTTCTATTAAGTTCTAGTGTCAGCTGTTTTCGAAGATTTAGAAACGTGCTTTTAACTGAATAAATATGATTAATATTCGTAGTTATTTTCCCACAAAATCTCCGTGTTTATTTGTATTCCAAGTTCTGTGGTACATTCTGTGGTTAATAATGTGAAGTGCAACACCTTCCCGTTAACACAGTTGAAACCAAGTTCTGTGGTACATTCTAGGGTTAATAATGTGAAGTGCAACACCTTCCAGTTAACACAGTTGAAACCATGTTTTGTGGTTAATAATGTGAAGTGCAACACCTTCCTGATAACACAGTTGAAACCACAACCAGCCAACTCTTCTAGATAAAATACATCATATAGACGTTACCCCTTAATAAAAGCACAGCCAGCCAACTCTTCAAGATAAGATACATCATATAGACATTACCCTTTAATAAAAGCACAGCCAGCCAACTCTTCAAGATAAGATACATCATATAGACGTTATCCTTTAAGTAAAGCACAGCCAGCCAACTCTTCAAAATAAAATACATCATATAGACGTTACCCCTTAATAAAAGCACAGCCAGCCAACTCTTCAAGATAAAATACATCATATAGACGTTACCCCTTAATAAAAGCACAGCCAGCCAACTCTTCAAGATAAAGTACATCATATGCATGTTTCTGTATTAACGCAATCGAACAGAGTTTTTGAATTAACACTGTTAAATGGAGATTGTTTGTTAATTAACACAGTTAAATATAGTAGTGATTGTGTATTAACACAGTTAAATATAGTGTTGATTGTGTCTTAACACAATTAAATAAAGTAGTGATTCTGTATTACTATTTTAACTAAAGCAGTGATTTTGTATTGAAAGGTTAAATAAAGTACTATTTCTGTATTAACACAATTAAGTAAGATATGCTTCTGTATCAATATAGTTAAATAAAGCAGTTATTCTTTATTAACAAATTAAAATAAAATAAAGAATCTGTAATAACACTGATAAAGTGCCGTTTCTTAATTATATAAAAAGCTGGAAGGTAAAAAATGGAAGATATGTGTTGTGTGTCATACCATAAGACGTTTCAGACTGCTAATAAACAACGACTATGTTACAATAAGCAACAATGACTATTACAGTTAGTAATAATGGTTTATTAAAGAAGAAAACAATACCTTTATTACAGTAAGCAACAATGATTGTATTGCAGTAAGCAACAATGCCTTTATTACAGTAAGCAACAATGACTGTATTGCAGTAAGCAACAATGACTTTATTACAGTAAGCAACAATGATTGTATTGCAGTAAGCTACAGTCAATATTACAGTTAACAACAATGACGTTATTACAGATAGCAACAATGACGTTATTACAGTTAACAACAATGACTTTATTACAGTATGCAACAATGATTGTATTACAGTTAAAAACAATGACTTTATTACAGTATGCAACAATGATCGTATTAAAGTAAGCGACAATGACTATTACAGTTAGCAGTAATGATTTTATTAAAGAAAAAACAATAACTGTATTGCAGTAAGCAACAATGACTTTATTACAGTAAGCAACAATGATTGTATTGCAGTAAGCTACAGTGAATATTAGAGATAGCAACAATGACGTTATTACAATAAGCAACAATGGTTGTACTGCAGTAAGCTACAGTCACTATTGCAGTAAGCAACAATGACTTTATTACAGTTAGCAACAATGATTGTATGACAGTAAGCAACAATGACTTTATTACAGTAAGCAACAATGATTGTATTGCAGTAAGCCACAGTGACTATTGTAGTAAGCAACAAGGACTTTATTACAATAAGCAACAATGGTTGTACTGCAGTAAGCTACAGTCACTATTGCAGTAAGCAACAATGACTTTATTACAGTTAGCAACAATGATTGTATGGCAGTAAGCAACAATGACTTTATTACAGTAAGCAACAATGATTGTATTGCAGTAAGCTACAGTGAATATTACAGTAAGGAACAACGATTTTTACAGTTAGCAACAATGACGTTATCACAGTTAACAACAATGACTTTATTGCAGTATGCAACAATGATTGTATTAAAGTAAGCGACAATGACTATTACAGTTAGCAGTAATGATTTTATTAAAGGAAAAACAATAACTGTATTGTAGTAAGCAACAATGACTATTAGAGTTAGCGACAATGACTTTATTACACTAAGCAACAATGATTGTATTACACATAATATATGTTCTATACATAAAGGATTGTTGTTTATAAATACTACTTGTAATATATGTTTTATATATAAAACGTTGTTGTTTATAAATACTACTCATAATATATGTTCTATACATAAAGGATTGTTGTTTATAAATACTACTTGTAATATATGTTTTATACATAAACGGTTGCATCGGATCTCTTTTCACGCACACTATTGTCGTTTATTGTAACAAAGTCACTGTTACTAAGTTGTTGTTTATAAATACTACTTCATAATATATGTTCTATACATAAAGGATTGTAGTTTATAAATACACTACTTGTAATATATGTTTTATATATAAAAGGTTGTTGTTTATAAATACTACTTGTAATATATGTTTTGTACATAAAGGATTGTTGTTTATAAATACTACTCATAATATATGTTTTGTACATAAAGGGCCTTTTATATATAAAACATATATTATGAGTAGTATTTATAAACAACAACCCTTTATGTACAAAACATATATTATGAGTAATATTTATAAACAACAACCCTTTATGTACAAAACATATATTACAAGTAGTATTTATAAACAACAATCCTTTAT